CCAGTCTTGTACAGTTATTTTTCTATTGTACCCTTTAAAAAAAAAGTAATTTTGCATTGTAACATTTGGAAAATACTATATTTTGAATATGTTTATGGAGATTCTCAGTCATCCAGGTCATGGTTGTCCCAAAGATGCTTTTCCAAAAGGCAACTGGACTTTTTGTGTTTTTTTTCCCTTGAAAATGTTTCGCTTCTCATCCAAGAAACTTCTTCAGTTCAATGTATTTTAAATAACGCTAACAGAAAATTCAGTTTGTAAGTTAAATTATTTTCTTTCCATCCCTCGTGAAATTGAGAGGCCAGAGGTGGCTGATTTAGTCCCTTCTAATTTTCTGAGTCCTAAATAAAATCTCAAATTTCCAAACCTTGAAATACTTGTCACCTGCCTAGAAATTACCAATCTCAAGAGATAAGTTTAGAGTGTCATTTCTAGGCAGAGAAGTAGCAGCATAAGAATGGCAATTTCAGACTTCAGGATTGAATGTATGTGCAGTATTTAGCCATCATTCTTGTGTGTAACCAACTGCTGCACTTTGTAAACAATGATTTCTACTTGGCTATGTGATATGAATCCAGCCTATTGTGGCTTCGCCAACATACTGTGACTATATATTTTTTTAAAAAGGATGCCTATGATGTATAAATAAGTTGTTGATTACAGTCTTTTAAGATATCAGTTCAGATCTGAAGTATATAACATACAAAGCGGTCTTCCAATATTTGAGGGGCTGCCAGAGGGAGGAAGGGGGTCAAGCTATTTTCCAAAGCACCCAAAAGTCAGACAAGGAATAATGGATGGAAACTGATCAAGGAGAGATTCAACCTGGAAATAAGGAGAAACTTTCTGACAGTGAGAACAATCAACCAATGGAACAGCTTGCCCTCGGAAGTTGTGGGAGCGCCATCACTTGAGACTTTCAAGAAGAGATTGGACTGCCATTTGTCAGAAATGGTGTAGGGTCTCCCGCTTGGGTGGGGGGTTGGACTAGATGACCTACAAGGTCCCTTCCAACTCTGATTATCTGTTAAATCTGTTAAACTAAAGCAGAAACTGTCAGTGGTAGCATATTCAGAACTCTAAAAATAACTGATGCTTTAGGATAATTATCATCATGGTCCTTTTGCTCTGGTTCTCCAGTTCTTATTACTTAATTTGAAGTCCAAGATACATATCACTTGCGGCCAAGTGTTACTGCTATATTAGCCAATTGGGTTGAATTTTCCTATTTGGATATCCTTATAATCGTTTACCAATCCCTTGAGCTACTACTCCTGGAGCTACTGATGGTTTGCTCCTGCTGAGGTTACTAGATAATTTGCTCCCGAGAGCCTAAGAGTTTCCATAATTTATTTTCTGCAACATCTCTCGATATTCGGCCTTTGTGTTATGAGACAGCAGAAAAATTTACTTTCTCAGGACACCGGGGAGAAAAAGGAATAGGACGAGATGTTCCATCATAATTATTTCTGGTATTTTCAGCTATTTCAATGGGTGAAAGTGGGCCCTTATGCAAGATAAGAGCCCTGGAAAACTTTTTAGAAGGTTTGATGTATATATACCAACCTTATAAGAAGCCTGATTTGGGTTGTGTCTGTCTATATGTCTCTGTGTTATGTCTGTGCAATATATATACACAGTTCTTAATTTATGTTTTGGGGAGAAGCTCAGATTTAATATTTCACCTATTGTGTCCATATTTGTGTTAGGATTCCTCAAGTTTTAATCTTCTTTTTCTTCTACAAATGAGGATGAGGATTGAGATGGAAGGACACATATGACTGTTGCAGCATCCCAGTGGTCACGTGATCACAATTGACACCTGGCAAGTGAGTCATATTTATGACGATTGCAGTGTCCTGGGGTCCCCTTTTGCAACCTTTTGAGAAGCAAAGTTAATTGAGAAGCCAGGTTCACTTAACAACCATGTTACTAACCTAACCACCACAGCGATTCGCTTAACAACTGTGGCAAGAAAGAGTTGTAAAATGGGACAAAACTCAATGAATGTCTCGCTTAGCGACATCAATTTTGGGCTCAGCTGCAGTCGTAAATCAAGGACTACCTGTAAGAGAGTTTCTGCCAACAAAGCGCTGCTGATCAACACTTTTTCTGTGGATGAAGTGTTATTGGAACATAAACTAGAAGAAGAAAAGGTAAAAGAAAGAATGCTGGCCGGGATGAAAGATTTTGGACATAGCATAAATTTGGATGATTATGGGATAGAAATAAAAAAAATAACTTTGGCAGAACCGGAAGGACGGACGGACGGACAGACGGACAGATGGATAGACGGATAGACAGACAGACGGATGGACAGACGGATGGACAGACAGACAGATGGAGGGACGGACGGACGGATGGACGGACAGACGGACGGACAGACGGACGGATGGACGGACGGACGGATGGACGGACGGACAGACAGATGGACGGACGGACGGACAGATGGACGGACGGACGGACAGATGGACAGACGGACAGACAGATGGATGGATGGACGGAGGGACAGACGGACGGAGGGACAGACAGACAGACGGACAGATGGACGGACGGACCGACACACAGACGGACGGACACAGAGACGGACAGAAGGACGGACGGATGGACGGACGGACAGGCGGACAGGCGGACAGGTGGACGGACGGACAGATGGACAGATGGACGGACAGAGAGACGGACAGACGGACAGATGGACGGACAGACGGATGGACAGATGGACGGACAGAGAGACGGATGGACGGACAGATGGACGGACAGACGGACGGACGGACGGACAGACCAACAGACGGACAGATGGACAGACGGACGGACAGAGAGACGGACAGACAGACAGACGGACGGACAAATGGACAAAGAAAACTTATATAAAATGTTTTACCGATGGCATATCCCACCATTAAAATTGGTAAAAATGTACCTGAAACTATCCCCCAAGTGCTGGAAATGTAACAAAGAAATTGGAATACATTATCATCTATGGTGGCATTGTAAGAAAGCGGAAATATATTGGCAGAAAATCCAGAAATGGGTAGAAGAAATGTGTAAAATTAAAATAGAATTTAGACCCAAAATTTTTCTATTGGGAATTAATGTGGGAGAATATAACAAAGATGTAATATACTTAATAATCCATGTCATCACAGCTGCAAGGTTAGCTTATGCCCAAAGATGGAAAGGTAATGAAATGCCAGATGAGATAGAAGTAATTAGGAAAATTTGGATTGTGCAGAAATGGATAAATTAACTCAAGAATTAAAAAATAAGATCGAATCTGATTACTATAAAATTTGGGAGAAGTTTTACCACTGTTTGAAAAAAGGAAGGAACAAGAATATCAAGGATGACTAAAGCTTATGTATATATGTAAATTTGTATAATTGTCTATATTTATTACTTAATGATGTAAGGCAAGCAGGTGTATCAGGATGTATGCACCATGTTCACTGTTTTTAAATGTTTTTCTTTTTTGTTTGCTTAATAAAAATTTATAAAAAAAACATTTTCTTTGTGGATGAACCTGAATTATTTGGAGGGGAAAAAAAATCATTTGAGCTTATAATAGTCACACATTCAACCAGAGTGGGTGCTGCTAGATGGAGCTTTGCCCTTGTTAATAAATCTCCACTGGGAACCCTTATTATAAAGATGTGCACAATCTGAGCTTAACACAGAAATGTAGAACACTATGCAAACGGAAAAAGAAAATATGCCGCAGGAATAATCTTACACATGTACCTCCTCCTTCTGCTCTCCCCACAAAAACATTAAAAAAAATCTGAAGGAGGCAGAAATGAAGCTTGTTTTGCAGTAAAGAATCTGGAACTAATCTTTTTTATTATAAGCTGCCTGGAGTCATGGGCAGTGCAGGAATGTGATGAATAAAGAAATACATACTTTTTATAAAAGCACGCAATAAAAGCTTTCTACAGCATCAATAAGTATTCCCCGCCTTTTTTTTTAGAAGATATGGTATCAGTGGGATTGTGAAATGCTCTTTACTAATTATCAGGAGAATATTGGAGTATATTAAAGGCATTTTTTTCCAGTGATGCCACATAAGACGCTGAAGTTTACTATTTTCCATAAAGAAATTAACTGCATCAATTAAGCGAAGGATATCAAACTGGAGTGTATGAAAATTTAACAAGGGATTTAAACCAGGACAGGTGCCAACCTGATGCCAAAGATATTTGAAGGACAAATAAGGCGGTCTACAAGTAAAAAAAAAAAGGCCTATTATTTGGGCATTGGAATTCAAAAAAATCAGAGGAAGGATTTCCATTATGAAGACTGTGTCGCCATGGATTTTTTAAAAAAGAGATTTATTGGGCTAATAAATGGAATTTTCATAATATCACATCATCCAAATTTAAGCTTTTTTTCCACAGTTGTTTTTGTTTTCTAACTTTGTTCATTCATTCATTCATTCAATAGCTGCCAATTTCACATTCATTACTCTGGACAGTTTATAATTAAAACATAAAACTATACCTCCCCAAAATAAACCAACTATAGAATAGCAATAGCAATAGCGCTTAGACTTATATACCGCTTCACAGAGCTTTACAGCCCACTCAAAGCGCTTTACAATGTTAGCATAATGCCCCCAACACTCTGGGTCAAACAAACAGTACAAATGTTAAAAACGGTCATAAAACGCGTGCATCCCCTCATTCTAAAATTGCAAGGTTTCTTTTAAAAGGGGAGCAGAATCAGGTTTTCCAAAAGGCGTTTTAAACAAACGTTCATCAAACGATGCAGAAAACTATTTGCAGACAGATAGGCAGGGCAAAGAGAATGACAGCCCTCTACAGGCGGGGCTTAAGTTTCCCTAGCAACCGTCGCCATCTATTCCTTCCTCTCTCCCCCTCCCTCTCTCTTGTAAAGACCAGGGAAAGTCCCGCCCCCGGCTCGGCTCGTCCAATCACAGCAGAGGAAAGCGGCCTCCCCCTCGTACCTAGCGTTGGGTTCCCGAGCACGCGCGCGCGCTTTGATGACGCCATGACGCCAGCGCCAAACCAAAACCCCCTGTGGGCTTGGGTTGGACCCGGCGCCCTCCCGGCCGCGGGCTGAGGTGAGTCCGTTCGGGGCTGCCCGGCGAGTTCCGGCCCTCGCCCCGCTCCTCCTTCTTTTGCCCGGCCTCGACGGGGCTGGGCTGGAAGGTCTTGGCCGCCTGGGTCCTCCGGGGCCTGCGCTTGTTTCCCACCTGGTCCGCCTGCCAGGCCCGTTTTCGGTCCCCACCCCGACCACACCTGGGAGCGAATCTGGGCCTCCCTCCGGCCGTCTTATCCCCCCCCCCCGGGCAGAGTTTTTCCACGGCAGGCAAGCGAGCGGTCTGGGAAACGCAGCGCCGCGTTCTTGACAGCTGGTTGCCCCCCACCCGTTGTTGTTTGAGAACCCGGGACCCATAATTCCCAGCTGGCCTGTGTTATCCCGGCCCATCTGGGAAGGAAGCACTTCAGGAGGCAGGAGAGGAAATATCGTTGAAGGAGGAAGGTGAGGAGCGGGTGGGTCCCCGCTGGGGGTGGAAGGAAGACTAGATTTAGCTTTTTTTAAAAAAAGATATACAAATCCTATAATTTAGTAATAGGCAGCCCCCCCCCCACTCCCCTTTCATCCAGCCTGGTCTTTTAAACTTTACAAACCCTTTCACATCCCCTGTTACCAGAGTCTTTATTTACTTTATTTATGTATTTGTCAAGCATGTGTTAACAGCAGGGGTGGGATTCAACATTTTTAACAACCGGTTCTGTGGGCATGGCTTAGGTGGTGGGCGTGGCTTGGTGGTCATGTGACCGGGTGGATGTGGCTTGGTGGTCATGTTATTGGCTGGGCGTGGCCAACTCAACATCACTCACATCGAGGCACGCATCTCCTCGCCTGGCCTCTCATGACTGGGGTGATGCTGCAACAGTCGTGAGTGTGAAAAATGGCCCTAAGTCACTTTTTTCAGTGCCATTGTAACTTTAAATGGTCACTCCACACAAGCAAAGTACCAGCAAAGGAGGGAGAAAAAAAACTCCATTCCTGAGACAGGAAGTCTAGTCCTGCCAAGAATGTAATAAGGTTAACGGAGAGGCAGTTTCTGTAAGCAACACCAGAATGTTTCCTTCCTGCCTTCCTTACAGGATTAGGCCAGTCATTTCTTCTAACAACCGGTTCTCCCAACTGCTTAGAATGTTAACAACCGGTTCTAGCGAATAGGTGCGAACTGGTAGAATCCCACCCCTGGTTAACAGATATAATTAGAACATGATTATGATTACATGAAATGGGTACGAATAAAAGGAAGACATTAGGACAGGGAGGGTAGGCATGTTGGTGCGCTTATGCACATTCCTTACAGACCTCTTAGGAATGGGGGTGAGGTCAACAGTAGACAATCTAAGATTAAAGTGTTTGGGGAAGCAACCACAGTCAGGTAGTGCATTCCATTCTTGTATTATTGTATCCAACCTTGTACTACTACTACTATTATTATTGTCATTATTAATCATACAGTCAGCCAGATGTTCAGACTGGGTTTGGCATTTCTGTCTACCTATTGAATCCTTACCAAGGACCTGGGATAGGCAAATCTGGATGTTTGATGGGGTTACAGATGTCGCCGCAGGATGGAAACTGTTCCAAGTAAAGCTGCCTTCTGCAATTGACTGAGGGCAAATTTGTCAATGCCTATGGTGTTCAAGTGGTGCTCCAGTTGTTTTGGGACTCTACCCAAGGCTCCTATTACTATTGGTACTACCCTTGCTTGCCAATGCTATAGTCATTCTATTTCTATTTGTAGATCTTTGTATTTTGTTATCTTCTCCAGTTCTTTCTTTTCTCTTCTGCTGTCTCCAGACACTGCCATACTTTTTTGTCTTTCTCACTGACACCTGTTAAGTCCGGGGTGTTATGTAGCAGGTGCCTGTCTGTCTGGATTCTGAAGTCCCAGTGTAATCGTAGTAGTAGTATTGTATCCAGCCTTGTATTATTGCTGGCCGGGGAGTTCTGGGAGTTAAAGTCCACACCTCTTCAGGTTCCACAAGTTGAGGAAACGCTGGTTTAGAATTGAACTTTCAGGTGAAATATGTTTCTCGTTGTTAAGCCTTGCTCTCTCTCTTTAAAATGGATTAACTTTTGAAATGTTAAGTCAGGTCTGTCCTTGGGTATATGGCACTCTTCGTCTACCGTGTTTTAGCTGTGCGTGTGATACTTGATCCAGTGTGTGCCATTAGTTTGTGGTTAAAGGTGACTTGTGAAACTCTTTTAACATGTGTTTCATTGGATAAAATAAGGTAACCGCAGCTCAGTGCGTTGTGCAAAGATGGATTTAGGTTCTAGGACTAATCAAGCATAGCTTGGGCTGACAGGCAGATGAAGAATTTTTGAGCAAATAAGAAAGGGACATAAATGTTCTAAAACAGACGTCTCCTACCTTTTTTCGATCCAGTACAAAATTTGATTGCTATCTGTTTCCTGAGCCTGAACGATCATTCTAATCCAGTATGTGGGGTTTGGCTTTAAAGAAATGGCTTTAGGATTATGTATTAATCTTTTAACCCTGAATTTCTAAAGCTGCTTGCTTTCGAATATGGGAAGTCTATGTCATAATGTCCATTTGTTTAACAACAGTTCAAAGTTATAATGGCCTTAGGAAAAATGACTTATGACTAGTGCTTGTAATTACGACCATTGTATCATCCCCAGAGTCATATGATTGCAATTTGGGCGCTTGGCAGCCAGCTCTTATTTGTGCTGTGGTCTGCAGTCATATGATTGCAATTTGCACCTTTTTTGCTAAAGACCCATTGGGGAAGCAGGATCTGCTTTACAGCCACTATAAAAATTGTCATAAAATTGGGCCTGATTCAGCTTCACAATGACTTAGAATGGAAATTCCAATCCCAATTGTGGTCATAAGTCAAGGACTACCTGTATTGCATTTCTTTTTGATAGGCTTATAAAATTGTACTTATTCTGCCATTTTCAAAAGATGGGGTTATCTTTCAGTTTTCCAGATTTTGTTTCTGTCTGCGAATAGCTGAAATATGTATGGTTACTCTGAAAGATTGAAAAGTTTATTATGTATGATTGCATATGTGTATAAAATTCAGAAAATTTTAATGTTAATGTCAAGCACCCAGAAAGTATCCATGATATCAATCACTCCGAGACATTAACTCTCCAATCTAAAAACTAAAATTTTCTAAACTAATAACCTGTCTATGTAGAACATAAGTTTCAATCCTCTTCCTAAACCAGGGTCCCCCCCAAATGTTTAATATTGACCCCCAAGGGTTGATGAGATTATCCACTGTTATTATTCTATTAGTTAAAGTGGTATTTATTAAATTGTTCTCATATAATGTTTGGAGTCCATGAACAATTTGAAATTTCATGAAGGGTTTGATGAGCTGAAGAGTTTGGGAGCGCCCTGTCCTAAACTATTATAAGGAGGAGAGGCTTCCTCAACTTCAGCTTTAATCCTAAACCATAATAATTCTCAGGACTGGTATTATTAACACTGAAACCTTAATGCTTTCTAGCTGTAGAATCAGGATATTTTCTGACTACATCATTTTTGATATTTCTAAAAAGTTCCTGATGTTTGAATTAAGCTGTAGATGCAGGAAAAAATAATTGAGCCAACTCACTGACTGTTTTTCCTTTCTTTTCAGCTTCTTTGGGATGTTGCAATGGTTGGGATTGTTCCAGACATGGTTGCTGTGGTGCTACCTACCGTGGGAGAGCATTTTGATGGATGACTAGTACCATTCAGTGATGGGCTGTGGGACTAGTAAAATCCTTCCCGAGCCTCCCAAGGATGTTCATTTGGATCTGGTTAAAAAGGTCGAGCCCTACACTGCTTATAAAACTGACATATATAAACATTTCATCAAAGGTGATGGAGATGCCATCAAGTCTGCTATTCCTTCTCCTCCGTGCCACACCAATCCGTATGTGGAGCAGCAGGAGCCCCGGAAGAACAGAGTGGCAAAGTACCGTGCCAAATTTGATCCCAGAGTGACCGCCAAGTACGACATCAAAGCTCTGATTGGCCGAGGTAGCTTTAGTCGGGTGGTACGCGTGGAGCACAAAGCGACCAAGCAGCCTTATGCAATCAAGTTGATAGAGACCAAATACCGCGAGGGGAGAGAAGTATGCGAATCGGAGCTGTGCGTGCTCCGCCGAGTGCGGCACACCAACATCATCCAACTCATCGAAGTCTTTGAGACTCAGGAGCGCGTCTACATGGTGATGGAACTGGCCACCGGAGGCGAATTGTTCGACCGTATTATTGCTAAAGGGTCTTTCACGGAAAGGGATGCCACCCGAGTGCTACAGATGGTGTTGGATGGGGTTAAATACTTGCATACGTTGGGCATAACTCACAGAGACTTGAAGCCAGAGAACTTGCTCTATTATCACCCAGGTATGGACTCTAAGATCATGATCACCGATTTCGGGCTAGCGAGTGCCCGGAAGAAAGGAGACGACTGCTTAATGAAGACTACCTGTGGGACCCCGGAGTACATTGCCCCAGAGATCTTGATCAGGAAGCCTTACACTAACTCTGTGGACATGTGGGCGCTCGGGGTGATCTCGTACATCCTGCTCAGTGGGACTATGCCTTTTGAGGATGATAACCGCACCCGCTTGTATCGGCAAATTCTGAAAGGAAAATACAGTTACTCTGGGGAGGTGAGTAAAGGAATGATGATGATGATGATGATTGATGTGTGTGATGAGAACATGACAGAAGAGAAGTAAATGTATATACATAGTCCACATAATTATAAGTAATACATCTACGGGAGTGTGGCAGTGGCCTCATAGCTGGGTGTCCAGTTCAGCTATCCAGACAATCGATCACATCTGGCGTTGCTTCATGCAGATCTAGCGAATCAGGGAATGCACATTGTGGCCAATCATACCCAATAATGTTTAACAGTTTGTATATCGACACCACAATCGCAACGAGGGGAATCTTTCCACCCGCACTGCTACAGGGCAAAGGCATTTCTTCCAGTATCAAACCTAATTATAGGAAATAAAAGAACAGCAAAAGAGTGATGTCTTCAATATTTGAATCACTTCTCAAAGAGGGATAATCTGCTTTTTGTGAATTGCTCTGCTCTGAAAAGTGGGTCTCTTCTAGGAATATGCCTGTTGTCAGGGAATGGCCCAAAGTGCTGCAGTGTGACAATACCAAAATAGCAATGGTAGAAGGAACTTTTAGCACAGTGCAACTGTATAATGTTCTTAATACTCCACCAGTGATACACAGATATATACTACTTTTTAATCTTATTCTTGAAATTTTGCCTGAGACTGGGGGAGATGCCTTTCAGGTGTGCTATAGGTCAAATTTCACGGTATTTCATTTGACCTGTTGTTTCTCTATGTATGTTTTATTGGGTTATGTCAAGGGTCTTCAAACTTGGCAAGTTTAAGACTTGTGGACTTCCAACTCCCAGAATTCCTGAGCTAACGTGACTGGAGGAGGAATTCTGGGAGTTGAAGTCCACAAGTCTTAAAGTTGTCAAATTTGAAGGTCCCTGGGTTATGTCATGCAGACATCTTTTATAGATGACCTCCAGCCTTCCTTTTGAGTATGGTAATTTGAATTAATGTACATTGATTTGTAAATGCTTCTGATGAGAGTTAAATCACAATTCTATCAAATGTATATCAAAAATACAAAGCTACAGTGTCCTGTCAAAACTGTTTGATTATTGACTTTGTCTCTTTTAGATTCAAGAACTGACTTTTCCCACTACCTGTATTTGCACATAATAACAAAAAAAAAAAAGAGTTTTGTTGCATGACTCTTTGCAGACCTAAGTGGAGCCTCAGATTTCTGCACTGTCCATTTCCTTCTCTTCTGGCCTGAGAGTCAGAAGAAGAATTATGTACAACTTAATTTAGCTGTCCACATTTCTTGTTTCTAAATCAAAACATGATTTAAAACAAAGGGTTTGTTACTGACTTTTTTAGCAGTTGGCAAAACATGATTCCTATTTAATTCATAATAATCAGCCAAGAATGGAAGTAAGATAAACAATATCTATTAAGAGTCTTCCTTTTAGCAAGGATGAATATCCTTCAAGTGTTCTCCCATATTTTCAAAGAATTGTCTGTAGACTATACCACATACTGGCTTAGTGCTAGATAAAATTAGGCATAACATTTAATTTCTTTGAAAGGATTATTGTTTGCTTGTTCCCAGCATCTTTCCTATTTTGTGTTGCAGAGTTAACTTCCTATGCACTTGTCCCAAGGGTGCTTGAATTTCAAGAGGCAACTGGACTTTCTCTTTTTTTCTTTGAAGATGCTTTGCTTCTCATCCAAGAAGCTTCTACAGCTGAAATGTCTTCAAAGAAAAAAAACTAAAAAGTCCAGTTGCCTCTTGAAAAAACACCTTTGGGACAACCATGACTTGGATGACTGGGAATCTCCATATGCACTTTTTATGAGGAAAAAAATTCAAGAGGTTGAGCTCTTGTGTCAAAGAAGTATTTCAGCAGCAGGGATCTTTCTCCTTTTCCACTGGTGCAGAACAAGTGCCTTTTCCAAACTGAGGCTGTGCTGAAATTTGTCACTAAAATTGCTGAGGCTGTTGACAGCGAAATGAAAATTGAAGTGTAGATTGACAAGAAAAATCTGACGCCAGCTAGAGGTAGCCCTCGGCTTTCCGCCACAACTGAACTGAACGTTTCTGCTGCTAAGTGAGGCGGTTGGTTAGTGAATTTTGCCCCATCTTACAAACATTCTTGCCACCGTTGCTAAGGGAATCACAGCAGGTGTTAAGTTGTTAAATGAATCTGGCTTCCCCATTGACTTTGCTTGTCAGACGGTCGCAAAAGATGACCACATGGCCCAAGGACACTGCAACCATCATAAATATGAGTCAGTTGCCAAGCACCCAAATTTTAATCATATGACCATGGGGAGGCTGCAACGGTCATGGGGATGAAAACAGTCATAAGTTGTAACTTCAGATGGTCAGTAAATGGTCTGTTGTAAGTCGAGGACTAGCTGTATTGCAGTTGCTGCCTGCCAGTACAGCAGCAGGTGTCTTCCTAATGTGGTTCCATTCTTGAAGGGAGGGTCCATTTTCAAGAGGCTATTAAGCAATCAATGGCCATGTTAATAACTCATTCAGGTTCTGCTGACTTCAACTGCTCTAATTATTATTCTTTGGCTCCTGGGTGATATACAGTGGATGACCAGGAAGGGAAGTTTAATGCAGCTTGGAAAGACACTACAAACACTTCTGATGATGTTAGCGTCCTGCATTACAGTGCTTCTCAGAGCAGGATCAGCTCAATTTATCTATTAGGAACTAATTGTGTTTTTCCCTGCGCCCTGCAGCTTCTGTGCTTTATCAGGGCTTAGTTAAATAAGCAGAAGGCTTTGTTTTGCTGTATATATTTTTTTAAAAAATCAGGATCCCCAGCAGAAAAAGCTCCTGATGTGTCTGAGAAGTCAAATGGTTTGATATATCCTATTGTTCTGCTCTCTGATGATTGATAATAAAAACCTCAAGGTAGAAGTATCCCTAAATTACCTACCTGCATCTTTTACTAATTTATAAATGGGGCCACATCACAGGAAGCAATGGCCAGCGGGGAGGAGAAGGCACCTGTGTTTTACATTTTTTTAATATAGATGTTTTAAATATGTACTAAAATTTTCATGTATTTCACATCTCAGAATAGCCAGACGTGATGCTGTTAATCTTCACAAACTGTCTGAGTAGCTAGTTTTTGTTTTTATACTTACACTTGGACTGTCCCCTTAGATTTTCACCCAAAGCTCAGCAATAAATCTTTGTTTGGGAACTTGGATAGGTATACAAGAAGCCCTTAACGACAATAAGCTGCTGTACAATCGTGAGCCCTCTTTAAAATTTGTGTTTCTTTCTCCTATCTTTATATGGTAATAGACTTCTGGCCACTTGTTTCTCAGCCTTGCATCCTATTTTGATAACATCTAGTAGTCTAAGGTTGTCAGTTTCCAGCCTTCCCAGCTTCAGTCATCACAATGGCACAAAATGTTTTCAATATATGCTCAATACATTCTAGATGTTAGAAAGTGCAGATGGAGCTTCAGTAACAGTCTGCAGTTATTTCCACAGTTCCAACTGAAGTGCTCCTGTGCCTCCTCCCAAGATAGTCCATTCTATTCAGGCATTTCATTTTACATTTTTCTTTTCTAATTAACACTGAATATTGTGTGGTTTTCTCATTAGAATGTGATTATGAGTTGTTTTTTTAATGCCTGCAAACCTTAAATTTCCTCTGTGCTTGCTCATAGGCTCCTGTTGAAGCTCAGTGACTGTTATGGTTCTAGCTGTGTTTTGTCTGTCTTTACTTTAGCAGCTGTGCTCCTGCTTTCTCCCACAAAAATCTCGCTTGCAAAAGCAAAAGTTGGTCGACAAGCATGCATGCAGCCCAAAAATCTCTGGAAAGACACTGTATTTTACAAGACTATTAGGGTTAGAGAGGCCTGGTTTCAAATCACAGGAAATACGAAACTCATTGGCTGACGTTGTCTATCACTTCAAGTAGTCCTCGACAGGGATCAGAAAGAAAAAATGCTACCTAGGCAACGGAAACATTTATTGCTAAGATATTTTATAACAGACGGGTGGAACACAAATTGAATTTGTCCATGCAGGTAGTCCTGGACTTACAACAGTTTATTTAGTGACCATTCGAAGTTACAACAGCACTGAAAAAAGTGACTTACGACCAATTTTCACACTTATGACCTTTGCAGCATCCCCATGGTCACGTGATCTACATTTGGATGCTTAGTAACTGACTCATGGCCCAGAATCATATGATCCCCTTTTGTGACCTTTTGATAAGCAAAGTCAATGGGAAAACCAGATTCACTTAATAACCAGGTTACTAATTTAGGAATTGCAGTGATTCACTTAACAAACGTAGCGAGAAAAGTCGTAAAATAGAGCAAATTCACTTAACCCATTTCTCAGCAACATAAGTTTTGGGCTCAATTGTGGTCATAAGTTGAGGACTACCTGTATTAAAAGTTGCCAGTTCCTTGCCTGATATTTAATAATCATATTGAGAGGAAAATGCTGTGGATAATGCATCAAGTTTAGAAGAAGGCGAAATAAAGCAAATGCCCTGGTCCAGCCTTTCCTTTTCATTCAGGATTTGGTTTTTTTCTGTATTCCTAAAAACTGAAAAGTGAAGAAAGCCTGTCTGGAATGTTTCTCAGGGTAGAGACAAAGTAAAGCAAAATGCAATTTATAAACTTTCCCCCATCACTTAAAAGGCAGGGGATGCATCATCTGCTTTGGAAGAGTGGCTTAAATTTATCATTTACACTTGTCAGCTTGCCTGGGAAAATGGTCCACCAACATCCTTCCCTCCCTGTTGCATTGTGACTCACAGGCAGCTTTTTATTTCTAATGAATACCACTTCCACTTGATACAAAGTTTAATGCACCTTAACGCAGAAGACACTTCAGAAAGTTTTGGTGCAGATGTTGCCTTGAACACACTATTGTGTGCATCACTGATGAAGTATTGACTTACTCTGTATTATAATACACAAATGTAAAATTTGTAGAAAATATTAAATACCACGAGGAAACCAAGGCTGCCTTAGACATCATACATAAATTGAAGCCCTTTGGGTAACTTTAGTCTTAAATTATGAGACTG